GTCCTGGGATTTTCCTGTGTCGTGCCTCCCACTTCCAACTTGCACCCCTGAACTTAGTGGTTTCTGGCCAGGACGACTCGCAGCTCTTCTTTTCTATCTTTAAATTAACAAGGGTCATTCTCCATGTCCATGACTTAGCTTGTGACCGGAATGCAGGGAACTGCTTACACCAATGCGATTCCCAGCTTCACCTAACTTTTTCTTTTGGTCTTTAAATGACGTTAAACTATTAACAGCACCGTGTGCTAAGCACCGCGCCACACTGAGTCATATCGTGTGTTATTCATAGCCGTTCCAAGAAACAGATGTTGTTATCTCACAGATGTAGAAATAAGCTCATTATCTGGCAATAATTAATTACCTATCTATGTGCTAAGCGGTTTGTATGACTCCATTTAACCCACAATCTATGAGCTTAGGTAATAATGTTATTTCTACTTCACAGATAAGGAACTAAGAAGGTTCACGTTGTTAATATATAATTCAAGTATGTATGTACTGTCGTTTTGACTTTTTGATTTGGGTGTCTTGTGAGGCAGTATCTGTTTGTGACTATGTATTGGCAATGAATAAGTCTTTACTGAACCTGGGAAAGTTGTTTTTTTGTTTCAAGCCATAGTTCATCTCCTATACAAACTCACAATTTAGAAATGTGACAAACTGGGAGAAGGTAAAAATTAACTTAGAGCCCTTTGCGGTGTCCTAGACTTAGGAGGTGGGGGAATCATGCATTATAAAGCACTTCTTGGCACAATGCAAAGATGGCCAGGCAGCAAGGGGCTCTTACACTCTTTTCTGGGTTTGTTCTATATATAGATGATAGAGGTACTGACAACTGACTCTCAGAAACTGCTGCACCAGCTGAACACCCTGTTGGAACAGGAGTCTAGATGTCAGCCAAAGGTCTGTGGCTTGAAACTAATTGAGTCTGCACATGATAATGGCCTCAGGATGACTGCAAGACTCAGGGACTTTGAAGTAAAAGATCTACTCAGTCTAACTCAGTTCTTTGGCTTCGACACAGAGACGTTTTCCCTAGCTGTGAATTTACTGGACAGATTCTTGTCTAAAATGAAGGTATGTTCAAGCTACAAGATCCCCTTTCTTAATGTTGCTCAGCGTGTGTTTAAGAGATCAAATTGCAGAGGGTTGGAGATGGCTCAGTGTTAGAAGTGCTTGCTGGTCTTCCAGAGGACCTGAGTTCAGTTCCAAGCTCTTGGGCTCTGATGCCTTCTGGCTTCCTCTAGCTGCCCAAATGTAGCAAACATCACACACATATTCATGGAAACACATTAAAATTGATACTAATAAAAAAAAGTTGTCACAAAAAGAGCTGGCATTCAAAAGCCATTTTCAAATGTTGTGGTAATGCTTTTTCATAAACAAGAGTAGTAATATATCACTTACTAGTTGTATACAGAAGTAGAAAATTATCTAACATCAAGTGATTAATTGTAGCACTCTAGTAGGAAATCTGGCTGTATTTAAAAACCTTTCTTGAGCCAGCAAAATGATTGATCAGGTAAAAGCACCTGCTACACATGCCTCAGATAATCAAATCTGAGTTCTGTCCCTAGAACACACAATGAAAAGGGGGAACCAACTCCCAAAAGGTTTACTCAGACCTTCACACATGCACCATGGCACATGAATGCCCTCAAAATGTCTTCT